GATTAAATGCATTTGTATATGATTGAACTTGGTCAATGTTTGGAGCATACTAAGTATATAGTGAATATTATAATTTGTTGGAAAACTCAAATTGCTTTTAGTTAAAAGACAATATTGAAGTTATGAGCATACTGCTAAAAAAGCCCAAATTTCCTAAAAATCATATGAACCCACAATGTAATAAAATTTGATGAAAATCAGAAATGGTTGAATAAATTGCTCCAAAGTCATATACTTCATATATGGCAAGACAAGATTCTGACACAGTTATTTTGGATTCACTAGAATTTACCCCCATTTAAAACAAATGTATTTTCACACTTCTATTTTTCAAGAATGTATTGATTAATATTGGTTGCATGCTCTGAGTTCTCATAGCACTTGTTCCCGATGGTGTAAGCATTTATTTATGTGTATGCTTTTCATGTTTGTTTTGAGGAACTTGAGGGAATACATTTTTTTCTGTGCCCTTAGTCCCTAGCCCAGTACTTGATACAGAGTAAATTGTTCAATAAATGATCACTGATTGAAAAGTTTCTAATATTTTATCCTTTTGAATATAATTTTAAGTATCTGTGCTTCATTTTCCAACTTGCCAATTTCTCTAATCACATCATTCACTAAAATTCTGGCAAGAGGCTTTTCCTTCTAAAAGTTGGAAAAAGTTGGAAAGGGACTGGAGCAGTGGTTAAGTGCATACACATTTCACCACCAAACTATTGGGATTCAAGTTCCAAATCTTCAAGTCTGAGCCATGGAACTTTGGGAAAATTACTTAGAATCCTAGTCCTAGTTTTTTCATCTGTAAAAAGGACATAAAGTCCACTAGGGTTGTTATCAGGATAAATAATATAAATAAAATACATAGACCACTAGGAAGAATTAATATCGTCAAAATGGCCATCCTTCCCAAAGCAATATACAGATTTGATGCAATCCCTATCAAATTACCAACAGCATTCTTCAATGACCTGGAACAAATAGTTCAAAAATTCATATGGAAACACCAAAGACCCTGAATAGCCAAAGCAATCCTGAGAAGGAAGAATAAAGTGGGGGGTATCTCGCTCCTCAACTTCAAGCTCTACTACAAAGTCACAGTAATCAAGACAATCTGATACTGGCACAAGAACAGAGCCACAGGCCAGTGGAAATGGAATAGAGACTCCAGAGATTAACCCAAACATATATGATCAATTAATATACGATAAATGAGCCATGCACATACAATGGGGAAATGACAGTCTCTTCAACAGATGGTGCTGGCAAAACTGGACAGCTACATGTAAGAGAATGAAACTGGATCACTGTCTAACCCCATACACAAAAGTAAATTCTAAATGGATCAAAGACCTGAATGTAAGTCATGAAACCTTAAAACTCTTAGAAAAAAACCTGGGCAAAAATCTCTTGGACATAAACATGAGCAACTTCTTCATGAGCATATCTCCCTGGGCAAGGAAAACAAAAGCAAAAATGAACAAGTGGGACTACATCAAGCTGTAAAGCTTCTGTACAGCAAAGGACACCATCAATAGAACAAAAAGGTATCCTACAGTATGGGAGAATATATTCATAAATGACAGATCTGATAAATGGTTGACATCCAAAGTATATAAAGAGCTCCCACACCTCAACAAACAAAAAGCAAATAATCCAATTAAAAAATGGTCAGAGGAGCTGAACAGTTCTCCAATGAAGAAATTCAGATGACCAATAGACACATGAAAAGATGCTCCACATCGCTAGTCATCAGAGAAATGCAAATTAAAACCACAATGAGATATCTCACACCAGTAATGATCACCACCATCCAAAAGACAAACAACAACAAATGTTGGTGAGGTTGCGGAGAAAGGGGAACCCTCCTACACTGCTGGTGGGAATGTAAATTAGTTCAACCATTGTGGAAAGCAGTTTGGAGGTTCCTCAAAAGCTCAAAATAGAAATACCATTTGACCCAGGAACTGCAGTTCTAGAAATTTACCCCAAGAATGCAGCAGTCCAGTTTTGAAAAAGACAGATGCACCCCTATGTTTATCGCTGCACTATTTACAATAGCCAAGATATGGAAGCAACCTAAGTGTCCATCAGTAGATGAATGGATAAAGAAGATGTGGTACATATACACAATGAAATATTATTCAGGCATAAGAAGAAAACAGATCCTACCATTTGCAACAACATGGATGGAGCTAGAGGGTATTATGCTCAGTGAAATAAGCCAGGTGGAGAAAGACAAGTACCAAATGATTTCCCTCATTTGTGGAGTATAACAATGAAGCAAAACTGAAAGAACAAAACAGCAGCAGAATCACAGAAGCCAAGAATGGACTAACAGTTACCAAACGGAAAGGGACTGGGGAGGATGGGTGGGAAGGGAGGGATAAGCGCAGAAAAAGAAAGGGGGCCTTATGGTTAGCATGTGTAACGTGGGGGGGGAGGCATGGGGAGGGCTGTACAACACAGAGCAGACAAGTAGTGATTCTATAGCATCTTGCTACGCTGATGGACAGTGACTATAATGGGGATTGTGGAGGGGACTTGGTGAAGGGGGGAGCCTAGTAAACATAATGTTCTGCATGTAATTGTAGATTAATGATAACAACAACAAAAAAATACATAGACCAGTGCCTGGCATGAACTAATAGGTTTAAAAGATAATTTTTGTTATGTTCTGCTTTGGTTTTCTTTTGTATGTTCTGTAAGACCATTAGAGCTGATGTCTGAGGGACTGATTTTCCAGTCCTGTGTAGACTACACTCTTAATTTTCACTTTCTTGTATTATTTTGACTGAAAACTTATTTGGGGACCTGTGGTACAAACCACTCAGCATGATATGTCATGTAAAACAACTCCTGATAGTCCCTACCTTTGCCTGTGACTTTTGCCCTCAGTCAGTCATACCCTAAGTTTTGAAATCTGTAACTGCCCTCTTGTGTCACTATGAAATTACATGGTCTTTCAGTGGCAAAGTCTGCTTTTAAGTACCTGGGTTGCAAAAAACTGCTAGTGGACAAAAAGTACAGAATTCATCCTTCGCTGAATAGCTAAGGTGATGTAATAAATAACTGTAAATCTGGTATATCCAAATGTTATTAGGATTAAACAATTTGATTAGATAGATCTACATGACTGAATCATGCCTAATAAAAATAAAGCCTTCAAAAATTGTTTGCTACTATTTTTATTACTGTAAGTGATAAAAATCATGGCCATCACCATTATTGTCTTTAATGGAAATGTTATAAGATTATAGGTAAAGAAAACATGGAAGAGGTGACATTTAACCCTTCAAGGTCACCCTTGGTTTAAAGATTTCTCTGTGTGCTATTTGCTCAGGTCCACTTCTGGATAGAAACCCTGAGCAGGGTGATTACTCATCACTTTCTCTACCTAAACTTGAACTTCGCAAAACATACATGGAGAGGGAACACCTGTTTGGGCTGGGTCAACATGTTTGTCACCTGGTAGGTGCAGCAGCCTCATGTCTAGTAGGTCAAAGGAAGGGACAGAGAGAGAGAGGGAACACACAGATTCTTTCTTGGATTGCATACCCTGGAGGAAACTTGGTTCTGAAGGTACAGCTCAAACCATGCTTACACTGCATCTAACATAAACCAAGTTTGACAGAGAAAACTACAAGAACACTCCTCTAAACCCCATTCAACTTGAATAGTAATACAAAACCCACCCCCATTATTGCATCCAGAGGCAGTATCCTAACAGGTCCTTCTAATGCTGCTTATAAATCTTAGACTCAGCAATGTTTGAAATAGTCCATGTTCTAGGTGATCTTCATTTCTTTTAATATTTTTACGATTCTACAGCAAATGATCTGTTCTTGCCATTCTTTAGCCAAAAATATTACATATTGATGAAGCAAAAATACAGGTTATAGAGATTTAAATCAACAGTACTTACTTAATAAAAGAAAAAGGATAAAGAAGATGTGGTACATATACACAATGGAATATTATTCAGCCATAAGAAGAAAACAGATCCTACCATTTGCAACAATATGGATGGAGCTAGAGGGTATTATGCTCAGTGAAATAAGCCAGGTGGTGAAAGACAAGTACCAAATGATTTCACTCATATATGGAGTATAAGAACAAAGCAAAAACTGAAGGAACAAAACAGCAGCAGAATCATAGAACCCAAGAATGGACTAACAATTACCAAAGGGAAAGGGATTGGGGAGGATGGGTAGGAAGAGAGAGATAAGGGGGAAAACAGGGCATTACGATTAGCACACATAATGTAAGCGGGGCGCATGGGGAAGGCAGTATAACACAGAGAAGACAAGTAGTGATTCTATAGCATCTTACTATGCTGATGGACAGTAACTGTAATGGGTATGTGGTGTGGACTTGATAATGGGGGGTATCTAGTAACCATAATGTTGCCCATGTAATTGTACATTAATGATACCAAAATTGTAAAAAAGTAGGAGACTTACATACCTCAATATTAACCAATAAACTGTTTTTGAAACACATTTTAAGTCTATAGCCTTCAATTCTTGAAATAATCGTAAGAACTTAACTGATGCTTGTGGCGGCCTTCCTTCATTACCCATTCTATGTTTCTCTTCCTTTCAATTAACCCTTTAACAGAAAAAGGTCCCTGATGAGGAGACAACATCTGTGCTCATCCTCTAATTTGTCCCTCCTTTTTAAACTGGTTGATGTACAAGCAGTGAAAGCACAATAGGTCTGCATCAATTTGGAAAAAAACAGGTCTGGTCCCTGAAATTATTATATACCTCCTCTTATAGGTGTAGTTTGGTGTCTGGTTTTTAGTGAGTGCCTCAGGACACATTATTTTACTGGTGTTACAAGATTAGACATTCAGGATGTATCAGTGATTATCCATGGCCAGGAGCTGGTCTCATAAGAGGCAAATCTCAGGCCAATCACATCATGGAAATTATGCTATCTGTACACAACTTCCTGATCTGCTACAGAAACTTCCAGAGCTGTTGAGTTGACAGAAGATGGCCACAGAAGGAACTGTCTGCAACCAGCAGCTCAGTAAAGACCATCTAGAGGCAGGTTCCTTGCTGTCAATTCTACTTGAAGAGAGCATCTCTCCTGGTTTTATGGGAATTTTATCACAAAAGCCTGTCCAATGGAGTATTTTTGGCTTCAAAATAGAGAGCCTCACAAAATTTCCTTAGTAGAAGGAGGGTCGGGGTAAAACTTCTTTCATCCTCATGGGATTATGGAGACATGTGTCTGACTATTTTATCTCAAGTAACTACTCACAAAGTTCTGTACTCTGTGCCTCATTTTATTTACTAAGGTATCTGGAGTTCTTGCAGAACTATCTGTTCTCTAAGGCCCATCAAATGTTGCTATTGATGTAGCTGGTATTTTAAAGAAAGGTAACATTGTTGAAATCTAGGCAGACAGGTACAAGACCCAGAATTTAAGGCATTATTAACTCCTTCAACTCATCCACTAACAACAAAGGCTTTAGTTTGAATCTCAGCTTTGCCATTTGCTGTGTAATCTATGCAATGATTTTCAGCATCATATTTCTCATTTGAAAAATAAGGATAAAAATAAGGATAAAATTTTAGTATTTCATAAGGCTACTGGGAAATATATTCAAAAGCATCGGGTAATATATATAGGAAAATATAAAAGCAAGCTGTTTTTATTTTCAGTAACTAGAGTTAAATTCCATCAAAAGCAATCAGAATGCCCTGAAGCTGCATGCCCAGAGAGCTGGATTGGTTTCCAAATAAAGTGTTTCTACTTTTCTGATGACACCAAAAACTGGACATTCAGTCAAAGATTCTGTGTCTCACAAGGTGCTGATCTTGTTCAGGTTGAAACTTTACAGGAACTGGTAAGAAAATAGTTCTGGCTCAAATAAAAAAATTGGTCCTACCAAGGCACTCTGTCATTCTATGCAAGAGTGTCTAAAGTACAGGTTTAGACACCTAACTAGACCACTGATTTTTCAGCATAAACAGAGAGGAAACTAGTATGTGCTGTATTGTGCAAGGGGCCATGTATAGTTACTTTAACACTCATAACTAGAAGATGGCCAGAGAGCAAGCAAGTTCCTTCTTTGATTTATGAGCAAGGACTGTGCAAACAGGATTAGAAAATTAAAGGTGGGAACATGTTACACTTGTACAGAGTTAATAACATTGCTTCAAAATTAATCAAGCAGGATTGATGTCAGAAAAGATGGTCGAATAGGAAGCTTCTGGAATCTGTACCTCACCTAAACAACTATTAAAATGACAGAAATTGTCTAAAGTAACTAATTTGAAACTCTGTAGTACTGCAGCATCTAAGGGAGAGTTTGATGAAAAGGCTGGTAGATTTCAGTTAATCTCAGTGAATTTCAGCCTTCTCACTCAGTCCTGGCGACCAGCATAGCAGAGAGCCACAGGGACTGCTGTCCATGATCCTTGTAAAGCTTGGGGAGCCAGGGTGGGCAATGAGAACCTTGTTTTCCAAATGTTGGGGTTATGTGTTGTGATTTCTGCTTGCTGCTTTTCATTGCTAAGGGACAAGCACAAAGGCAGTCCGCCATTGTTTTCAATCCCCACCAACTGAAGTGGTTTCCAGAGGATTTAAAGAAACAGTAATTATGTTTCCCCCTTGGGAGTCAGGCATTTGAGAAAAATCTTTGGCAGGTAACTGGCTGGCCATAAAGATAACAAAACAGAGATTTTGGTGGCCACACACAACAGGGCATACACATCTCTTACAAAAATAGTTTGTAAAAGTCACAACTAGATGGCTCCAAACCTTAATAATCAAAATATAACAGTCCCCAAAGAGCAGAATATTAGGTTTCCAAAGTTGCTACAACAAAATATTCATAATGTCTAGTTCTCAATGAGAAATTACAGGACACACAAAGGAAGGTATAGCCCATTCACAGGGCTATGCAGAAAGCGTCCCTGAGGGAGCTCAGACATTGGAAATATTAGTCAAAGATATTAAATCTTCCTTGTAAATATGTTCAATGAGCTTAAAGAAGTAACAGACAAAAAAACTAAAAGAAACCAGGAAAATGACATATGAATAAAATAAGAGTATCAGCAAAGAGGTAGGAACTATTAAAAGGATAAAATAGAAAGTCTGGAGCTGAAAAGTACAGTAACTGAAACGAAAAACTTATTACAGAGGTCAGCAGCATATGTGAAGAGGAAGGAGAAAGGATCAGCAAACTTCAATATAGGGCAACTGAAAATGTCCAGTCTGAGGAACAGAAAGGAAAAAGAATGAAAATAAACAGATCCTGAAGGGACTGTAGTATGTCACCAAGGAGACCAACATTTGCATTATAGAAATCTCAGAAGGAAGAGAAAGGAATAGGAAAAAAAATGAAATAATGGCTGAAAACTTCTCAAATTTGAAGAAAGAAAGGAATATGCAAGTCTTAAGAGGCTCAACAAACTCCAAGCAAGTTAAGCTCAAACAGAACCACTTTGAGACAAATTATGGTCAAGCTGTTGAAACCCAAAGAGAGCTTTTAAAGTAGCAAAAGAAGCAACTAGTCATATACATGGGATCCTGAACAAGATTAACTGCTGATTAATTTTGAGACAGCATGGAACTGAGAATGCAGTGGAATGGCATAAAGTTCTGAAAGAAAAAAACACATCAATCAAGAATTCTGTATCTAGCAAAATGAAAGAGAAATTAAGACATTTCTAGATAAACTGAGAAAGTTTCTTGCCACTAGATCTATTCTACAAGCAATGATAAAGGCAAGAATTAAAGTATATTAGAACATGACACAGAGCCAAAGGAATAAGGAACAGTCATAAAGGTGACCACACAAATATAAAATCCAGAATTACTCTACTTTTGTTATAGTTTGCAGTTCTCCTTTTCATATACAATTTAACAGGTAAATTCATAAGGCAATAATTATGAATCTGGGCAGACAACATATACATATGCGATCTATGACAATAATATAAAGAGAGTGGGTTGGAGATAGGTGGGGCAAAATTTCTGTACATTATTGAAACCAAGTTCACATTATAAAGTAGGTTGTTATAAATTTAAGATTATTATTTATTATTATTATAATAATATAATATAATAATTATTATTATTATTAATTGCAATCCCCAAGGTAACCACTAATAAAATTACTTAAAAAATGTACAGAAAAGAAAGAAATCAAAATGGTACACTACAAAATAAAATCAAATACAAAAAAATGCAGTAATAGAGGAATTGAAAAATAATAAAAATATAAGACATTTGGACAACAGATAAATGGTAGGTGTAAGTCCTTCATCAGAAGTTACACTGCATATTAAAAGGCATTATCCTATTAAAAAGCAGAGGCTGGCAGATTTATTAAAAACAAGAGGAAATAATCCATCTATATATACTCTACAAGAGACTCATGTTAGATATAAGGACACAAAGAAGGTGAAAGTAAAAGGAAGGAAGAAGATATTCCTTGCAAATAGAGCTGGGTGACTCTATTCTTGTTAGACAGAATAGACTAAAGCGAAAAAGTTCCCAGGGGACAAAGAAGGACATTACATATTGATGAGAGTTTTGGTTAGCAAAAAGATCTATTATAAACACTTATGTGTCTAATAACACAGTCCCAAAATATATAAAGGAACAACTGACAGAACTGAAATGAGAAACAGTTTTACAATAATAGTTGGAGGCTTCAAAACTCCACTTTCAATAATGGGTAGAATAACCAGACAGAGGAACATTATAAGGAAATAGAGGTCTTGAATAACACTATAAACCCATTAAGCCTAACACGCATATGCAGAACACTCCACCCAACAACTGCAGAATACACATTCTTCTCAAGTGCATGTGAACATTCCCAGGATAGACCATACGGTGGCCATAAAAGAAGTCCATAAATTTGAAAAGATTAAAATCATACAAAGTTTCTTCTATAATCACAATGGAATCACACTAGAAATCATTAAAAGAAGGAAAACTGGAAAAATCACAAATAATGTGGAAATTAAACAACCCACTCTTAAACATCCGATGATCAAAAAGGAAATCACAAGGAAAATTAGAAAATACCTTAAGACAAATGAAATGAAAACACATTAAGCTATGCAGCAGAGGCAGTACTAAGAGAGAAATTTATAGCTTTAAAAAAATATCTAAATTCAATAAAAACACTACATACCTTAGGGAACTGAAAAAAGAAAAGCAAAAATAAATGTCAATTTTAAAACTTCAAAACCATAAAGATTTCCCGAAGAAGTCACGAAATCCATTAATTATAAAGGAAAATTGTACATATGAAAATATTAAAATTAATACCTATAATCATAAAAAGCCACTCTAAGTGTTGACAGGAATGTGTAGCAAAGGAAAGTGGGCTTCACTGCTGTTGTGAGTATAATTTGGCACAAAAACATTAGAAAAGAGTTCGGTGTGATTTGGTAAAGTTGACAATAGGCATTCACTGTGGCCTAATAATTCCATTCCAGGACAGGTGCCAACAATGTCATAATAGCATTCATAATAACTTCAAACCTGAAGTAACCTTAGCATCAAACAACATCAGAATAGATAAATTATGGAAAAGTAATATAAAGGGGTACCATGCTGACATAAAAGCAAACAAGTTTCAGCAATTTCTCTCAGTTTTCATCCTCCCTATGTATGCATGCTCTCCATGTATTATTTAACAATACAAAATTAAAAAGAAGGAAATTTTAAGAGCAATTAAGAATACAGGATACAAGCAATATGTCTTCTAGGAGAGGCCAGGCAATGACAGTTCTTTGACTACCATTTCTGTGTTTTCTGAAAGCATTTCCTATTGAGGTATAAAGGTCCCTCAGACCACTGGATTGGGCTGAGCAGAGAACAAGGCCAAACATGGAAATGGATAAATGGCACTGAATGGACTGAATGGTAAGTTATGAAAATTATGGCAGCAATATTTATATTTGAATTTAATTTGAATTTATAAATGAATTTACTTTAAATGCATTCTCCATGTATGTGCTCTAAAAATTTACTTTAAGATTAGTAATAAAGGAAGAAAGTGCCAATTTGTATGTTGCAAAGGTTTTGCAAGCTCCTTCAATCAATCCAAAGCAATGACATTTACCAACTCTCACTCTGAGGAAACCATATACCATCTATAAGTTTGTTACTTCTACAACTAAATTAATTGTATTTGCTCTATTGTTCTTTTTAAACTTTAAAATATAAAAATGCATGTTAAATTACTATATAAAACTACCATTGCATCAGTCTTCAGTAATTTACAGAGGGTTTATGAGTGAGGGTAATAATGCCTATTATTTTTAAGATTACAGTTATAATGTTCAGGACAGGCAGTTTGGCATTTTTGAATTTAATCTTGATTGTGTACTTATAGGATATTTATGGTACTGAAAAGATTTTGGATAATGCTGGAAGACTTGGGTTCAGACAATTTCACTAAATGTTTGCTTGTCTGAGGAGATGAGGAGGTTCTGAAATACTGCTTTATGACGACATAGTCAACACTGGAAAAATATTATTTAGTGGAAATGGCATTGGACTATAGGTAGTTCTGAAAACCAGTCTTTCCATTAGCTTTTTGACCTTGGACAGATGGTAAATTTTAGAAATTAGAACTTATTTTTATACACTCTTGTATTTGCAGTGCTCATCACACTGTGGATACTTGATATTTAGCATTAATCTCTATTTCTTCCTTTACAATACTGAAATAGTAATATACTAATTCTCAAAATGTTTTAAGGATCAAGCCTATTGACAACTACACAGTTGTTGAAAAATATTGGAAATTCAAATGTTTATGTGGAAAATATTGTATTATTAAGGCCTAGCATATCTCACAATCAGCAAATTCTATAAGACTATAGCAATTTCAACCAGCTAACAGGAAAAACTTATCTAGATGCCCACCCAAATGTCTGTGTCAGGCCATTTCAACACAGCTGAATAGCACTGTAGTTTCAGTACTATAACAACTAAGGAAATAGGAAGATATGGTAAAACACAGGACTTAGATAAAGCTCTGAAGTTTTCAGTTATTTAAGGAAGCAGAATATTGCTGAAACTATGGAGAAAAAACAGATGTCTGACCTCTCTCACCAGCCAAACAAGGCTTTGGATGCAGTTGAAAGAACACTATGCATATTGGTTCACTGTCCCCATAGCTGCTTTGCTGTATCTCCGGGTGATGAAAAGAGTATTGGATAGTTAGTGATTGATAACATAAGCCAAGAAAAAACGAGGGCCTGTGACCAACAACAAAACTACCTGTAACGCAACAGCATTTCTCCACTCCTTTCCTAAAATGAAGGTGGAAATAGCCTAGACCCTGTAGTTTCATCAATCTAGGTATGAATCCCAGTTTTATTTGTTGTAGGAATTTGGGGAATGCAGACCTTTTTTTTCTATAAAAAGAGATAATACTTATCTCACAGAGTAATTTTTAATATTAGAGACATGATATGCATAATGCATCTTATATTCAGAGGCTGAAGTACTGTTTACTTATTTTTTCATCTTTATTCCCTCTGTTCTTGAAGAAATGCCCAGTGGTCAACTGATTGATTCTGCTTCTTTCATTGCAGTTTTCCGGTCAGAGGAGGAGGGGAGCATGCCTACCTGAGTGACAAAGGTGCCAGTAGTGCGAGGCGCTACACAGAGAGAAAGTGGATTTGTTCCAAACTAGACACACATGACCAGATGCGGAGGCAAAGCCCCTAAATGATCTTCAGATACACATTGAGAGATAACTTATCAATTGCCATCTCCAGTTATTCTTAATCTACTTAAAAAAATTTTTTTCTAGTAAAACTGCTTTGCTTATATTTTACTATTTTCATTTTATTTCTAGGTATATAATTTTGAGTGTAAAGTTGAAGGTTTGTAGTAGTTATTGTTTTATAATGAACAATTTGGGTTCTCACCTATGTGTATACCAGGTAAAAATCAAGATGGTGTATAGTGAGCTCTGCCTAGGTGCCTTGTTCTTGAGCTATTCTTTGTGGGCTTACACAAGTCTGTCACCACTTGAAGCCTCATCCTGGGGCTTCTCAGTCCTCCCACTACTTCTGGATCCAGAGGAAGTTTTATGATCCACGGTAGAGAATTTGTTTTATGTTTCCAAGTATCTGCTGAAGTGGGGAAGACTCAGAAGTATATGTGTGGGGCTGTATGACAGTTAATTCTGGATCAACTTGGCTGGGCCATGGTACCTATATTTTGGGCAAACTATGTACATATAATTTACATATAATATTTTACTGGTTTCAGATGAACCTAGTGGTTCATCAACTATATATATTGCTAAATGCTCACAGTGGTAAGTGTAGTTACCATGTCCTATACAAAGGTATTAAGCGATATTCCCTAAACTGTACTTCCATTCCTGGGACTTAATTACTTTATAATCTGAAGTTTATACCTCTTTATTCCCTTCACCTGTCTCACCCAGCCCTCTTCTATGGTAACCAATATCTGTTCTCTGTGTTTATGAGTCTATTTCTGTTTTGTCTGTTCATTTGTTTTTCAGATTCTACATACAAGTGAAGACATATGGTAATTCATCTTTCTCTGACCTATTTCACTTAGAGTTAATTACCTCTAGGTCTAACCTATCATTTCTCTTTCATTTCTGATTTTATTTATTTTTGATAAGTCTAGCTTATCTTTTCCAAGAACCAGCTCTTACTTTCATTGGCTTTTTTTTTAGTTTCTATTTCATTTATTTCTGCTCTGAGCTTTATTATTTTCTTTCTTATACTAACTTTGGACTTTTAGGTGTCAGGTTAGATTGTTGACTTGACATGCTTCTTGCTTCTTGAGGTAGGCCTGTACTGCTATGAACTTCCTTTTTAAGACTGCCTTTCCTGCATCCCAAAGATTTTGAACCATTGTATTCTTATTTGCTTTTATTGCTTATTATCCAAGTTTTTTTATTTCTTTGATGACCCATGGGTTGTTTAGTAGCATGCTTTTTAGCTGCCACATGTTTGTGCTTTTTTCTATTTTTTTCTCCTTTGTAATTGATTTCTAGTTTCATACTGTTGTGGTCAGAAAAAATGCTTGATATATTTCAATCTTCTTAAATTTACTGAGACTTGCTTTATGGATTAACATGTGATCTATTCTGGAGAATGTTCCATGTGCACTTGAAAAGTGTATAGTGAGCTCTGCCTAGGTGCCTTTTTCTTGAGCTATTCTTTGTGGGCTTGCACAAGTCTGTCACCACTTGAAGCCTCAGCCTGGGGCTTCTCAGTCCTCCCACTACTCCTGGAACCAGAGGAAGAACGGGCATTCTGTTTTTGGATGGAATGTTCTGTATATATCTGTTAATTCCATTTGGTCTGATGTGTTGTTCAAATTGTAAGGATGTTTTTTTAGATGACATGTTAACAGTGGACTTTGACTAAAGTAGATTGCCCTGCATAATGTGGATGGGCCTCATCCAATAAGCTGTCAGGCCTTAATAAAACAAAGACTGGCCTCTTCCAAGTAAGAAGGAATTCTGCTGACAGATGGCCTTTGGACTTGAATCGCAACATCAGCTCTTCTTTGAGTTTCCAGCCTAACAGCTTTCAGATCTGAACTGCAAAGCTCGCTCTTCCCTGGATCTCTAGTCTGCGGGCCTGCACACACAGAGTTTGGATTTATCAGCCTCTATAATTATGTGAGCCAATTCCTTAAAAGAAATCTCTTTCTATATATGCATTCTATTGGTTCTGTTTCTCTGGAGATACCTAACACAGTAACTCCCTAGAGGATAAGTTTTTGACTAATGGAGACAGGAAAAAGGAAGAACCATAAGATACTTTCTCCATTTGGAAGCACAGATAGTGGCTCTCTGAGGGCATCCAGAAATAATGAACAATCTATTCAGCTTTTAAAGACAATTTTAAAAACTTTAAGCTTTTCTAAAAAACATCATCTTCAGTGTGTTTTGTATATAGAGTTCGATTTTTGTTATACAGTTTATTAGTTTTCTCTCATTATTTTTAAAGCGCTGATGAAGTCCGGAAATGATTTTATTACAATAAAACCAAACTTTTCCAGTGAAAAATATCTCAAGTTCAATAATATTATTGAACTCTATTATTCAGAACAGAGAATAAAGGGAATACAGTTAATAATATATAACAACTTTGTATACAAAGGTATGAGGAAAATCAACAATAGGAAAGAAAGTTTGCAATCTCCATCAACAAAATAATTTGTGTCTGAGGAAACAGAACTAAAAAAAAACAATTTGTAAAAACAAATAAGTAAAAAAAAGAAAAATAATCTCATTGCCCCCATCCAATAAAACCTTTTCAAATGATTACATTTATTAATCCTGAGGAGATAAAGGAGTAGGGCATAAAGTAGGCAAAAACAGTATAAAAATAATCTGATTGCACTCTTGAAGCAAAAAATTTTGTTGTTGAAATATACTCAGTAGAAAAGCTACACACAAGAGAGACCCAGCTGACAAATAAAACAATGAAACAGCATACGGGGCTGAAGAATACAGAGCAAAAAGATGAAGAGCTGACAAACATGGAACAATTAAGAGACATGGAGGACTGATTAGGAACTCAAGTGTTCACTATCAGGAGTGCTAGAATCGCATAAGAAAGAAAGAGAGAAGGGGAACCATCTGGGGAATTTACATGTACATGTAATACTATCAGTGGGCCTGAAATATGTGTTTTTTTTAACCAGTTGCAGGACACCATACTATAGGGTGCAGGAACTATATTTACTATGATTTTCAAGAGACTCCTTGGGAAAAGAGAAAAACAGAAAAAAAATCAAGAAAATGTGCACACAGTGGTTGATCTTAAATTTCTGCTGCAAAAACTCTGGTTATGTGCAAACTAAAACATGGTGAAATAACTTTCATAGTAGGAGCATAAAGGTAGAAACTGAATAGAACAGTATGTAGAATAAAATGCAAAATCATTAGCGGCACCCTATAGAATGTGGGTGGCCAAGAAAAGATAGGTCCTATGAGTTTACCAGTTTCAAAACATGCAGTTTTATTTTTTATGGTTGGGCTGTAATGGTAGAGAAAGAGAATGAGAACCTAGCAAGTATCTTGAGCAATCCCTAAACTTGAAATGCTGACTTATCAGCTTTTGTAAAGAATGGATATTCCCATATGATAAAAACAGTTAAAATCACATTTAAACTAAAACCGGATTTTCATTATTATAACAAGTGGCATGCCAAGCCATCTGTATCATCACTGGGCTCAGGTGTTATGGAAGACTTGATGTCCTTAATCTTTTAGCTTTTAGTTAAAATGCTTTCAGCTCAGAGAGGTTTTCTCCATAATAGAGGGCAGTCACTGACAGCCTGTACCAGGTATCAGTTTAGAGTGTCCTATCTACAATCCATACTTTCATTACCTGCTTTGCATTAATGGACTAAATTGAGCTCTTTCCCTTGAAGTTAGGTTGATGTTAAGCTTGTGACTAGAGGACACTGGAGTAAAATGCAGATTGGGCTTCTTCTCCTGGTTCTGATTTTTCTGTTTTACAAGAAATTTTCTTTTTGCTCTTGGGATACTGTAGCATGAAACTGACATTTTAAAAAATCATGCTAAACCATCAACAGCCCTGTGCTGACAAGCAGAAACAAATGCAAAACTATTCTGGAGTTGGGATATTACTTAGCCATAAAAAGAATGAAGTACTGCCACATGCTGTAACATGGATAACCCTTGAAAATAGGAGGCTAAGTGGAAGAAGCCATACACAAAAGGCCAAATACTGTATGATCCCATGCATATGAAATATCCAGAATAGGTAAAAACAGAGAAAGATGCAGATTGATAGCTGACAGGGGCTGGTGTGGTGGTGAGGGATGCAGAGCAACTGCTTAGTGGGTAGCAGGTTTCACCTTGGTGTGATGCAATATTTTGGAAATAGACAGAGATGGTAGTTGCACAACACTGTGAATGTACTAACGACCACTGAATTATTCACTTGAAAAAATTAAATTTACATTATGCCAATTTTATCACAGTAAAAAAAAAAACTGTTCTGCAGTGACACTTCCATGCTGTGGGAAAGTCCACATTGAAGGTGAGTTCACAACAGAAAACAAAAAATACCATCTGAGAGAGTCGTCATAAGCAACAAACAGGAGGATCAGAATCAGGAGAACCCAGTATCATATAAGTAATAACATCAGATAGTATGAAGTGAAGAAAATCATAATACAAGAAGAAGCCTCTACAAAAGTAAGAATAGACACATTTAAAATAACTAAATAGAAATGAGAAATATGATAGGTAAAATGTTAAATGAATTGGATAAACAACGGATTAAACTGAAGGAATGATTAATGGAACTTCAAGCTGAGAATAGAGATTAAAAAACATGTAAGACATTAAAAATATTGGATAACAGAATGAGAATATTCCAAAAAACATCTAAGAATTCCAAAAGTGAAGGGCCCCCACCCATAAGATGGCGAACCTACTGCTTCTCTTCCGGGTCTTCGGTTCCTGCTGGCGCCACCTGAAGCCCAATCACCTCTCTCCCCCCTCCCACTCCCAGCACCTAGCCAATAGCCACCAGCCCCATAGAAGTAACACCACAATCACCCCATGCCCCTTCCTATATAACCCAGCACCTTTCCCTAATAAAGTGGAATTTTCCGGTGAATTGCATAACACAGTAACTCCCTAGAGGATAAGTTTTTGACTAATGGAGACAGGAAAAAGGAAGAACCATAAG